ACCACCAGGAAAACAGACCTCTGTAGTGCAGTCTGATGAGTGGCCCAAGAGTGCCTGTGCCCCTGTGCCCTCCTGGGCTCCAGCGGCCGGGAGCAGCCGGTCACACTCACAGGAGTGTCCTCAGCTCAGTCTCTAGTGCACTGAACATCTTCTCTCCCAATCCCAACACATTTTATCTAACTTTGGTGAGAATGATGAATGATATAGTAAAGAAAAAAAGAAAATCCCAGTAGTAAGTACTGAAAAGAGACGAACTGCCTTGAGGATTTTGATCATGACATTTCAATTCTAATCTGTAATTCATGTAATTCTGTTTTGTTCTATTCTGTTTATAAACTCTGTGTTGTAATCACAGACTTTTTCGCATGATGGTTAGAAATTATATAACCCCTTTATCCTTGAACGCAATTGCATTTGTCCGCCCATCTTTTTAGTTTATGTTCAACTTCTATTGATTTCAAAGGTCTTTGACTGTAGCTGTATATATCTTTACAGGTTCAGAAAGAGGTAAGGTATTGTTCATAGGGTCAAGAAAAAAAAAGAGAACAAATCAAGCACCTATTAAAGGAAAATCTGTGGGTTTCTCCTTCTACACAGCAGTTCATTCTGTGACAGAGCCTGTGTGTGGGAGAGAGAAGAAGAATGGAGAAGTCCAGGAAAAAATTTATTGGTGTGGTAGATGAGGCAGTAGCAGCCGCCAACTCCATGCATCGTGATGAACTGCTCTTTTCTTACAAGGGAATTCTTTACCCTACCACTGTTTGCAGTCCTGAAATTTTCAAAGCCTTGGAGTCCTTTGAAGCCAGAAGGGATGATGTAATTTTGGCAGGATACCCTAAATCCGGTGAATATATTTTAATTCTTTTTATAAACAAGTTCCTGTAATAGTAAGTAATACAGTTTGTACTAAATATATTAAATATATATGATATGATACAAAATATGATATTATGCTAAATAATTGTATTTAGAATGTTCACCAAATTTTGTAAAACTGATTTCATTTTCAAAAAGCACCATAAATTGTTTACGAATATTTGACATAGGAAATTTTCCAAAAGACTGTGAAAAAAATTCTGATTTTCTTTTCAATAGCATCAAATGGTTTTTATCATTTTTACTTTTTATAGTCATGAAGTTAAATGCACAAATTGGAGAGAATCAAAACACAGTTTTTTACACCAGAGGTAACTATATCGCCTGATATTCCACGATCTACTCAGTTAAGAGTTTTATATTTTTACAATGGAACCCTTGGTACCTTCAAATGGTATATTCAATATTCTTTAGTTTATTTCACATAGGTGTTAGGATACAGCTATCAAAAATATTTTTGTAGTCTTTGAAGTGATTACATTGTTTTTTAAGTATTCTTTAAGGAAAATCAAGAGGACATCTTTCTTAGGGTTGCAAGTTTACCCTACGTATTTCCTCAATCTACCTCAAAGCACTGGTCCACATGAAAGCCAAAGGTTTGGATTAGCTGTGCCTCAGATACACTTTAATCTTGCTGTTTCTCTCTTACAGCAATTGGTTCACACTGCTTTACAGTGGATAGTCACAGCTGAGAGGATTGTAAAGTTTTTGCTTTGTCATTGTATTTTCTTTTTGAAGAAATGTTATGCGCTGGATTGCACTAGCTAAGACTACAGTGAGAAAGATGTAGGCACCCAGTGTCCAGAAGTCAGGAAATGGTTAATTAGAGATAGGAGATCTATGCTTTTTGTTATCTTTTGAAGAAAAAGATACTAAATGTGTCTAGAAAATGTCACTTCAGAGGGTTTTTCCTATTGTTAAGAAAAATGAGTGTACAATTTATTGATCTAGTTCTGCTCCTGTCTTGAAGTACTGTGACCCATCTTTCTTCCAAAGATAATACAGCACACCAGAAAACACTTAATACATTAGGTTTTTGAGTACAGGTTCACTACCCCAGTCTCCCTTATATGTGCCACAATGAAATTTATTACATTAAGGCAGGTTTTCCTAGTTGAATCCCAGTGGTTCTTCTCCCTGATTAGTCAGTTTACAGTATACAAGTTAATTTAAGGTACTGAAGTGTTCAAGTTGGAGAAATATGTCCTTATGAGGAGCAAAGGTAGGATCCTGGGTGGTGGTTGACCAGACAGTCAGCTGTGATTGTATGACATGAAAGGAGAGCAGGTAACTCACCTGGTAGTACTAGCACCTCTTGACTTCCCTGGTAAATCCATTTCTGTCCATTCTAAAAGTTTTACAACCACTTCTGTATTTTTCTTCTTTCAGGCACAAACTGGCTAAGTCAAATCTTAACTGATCTGATAGCCATATCTCAAAAGAAAACACCTGGTAGTGAAAGCAGTGTAAATGCTGAAGAACCAGAAGAATTCCCCTACCTCGAGGTTGGAGATGCTGAGAAATATGAGGTGGGAAGAGATTATGTATGGAAATGATCAACATTATGTGCTTCAAATACTGAATATATGAAGTATGATCTATTCTATTGTTTGATAAGAACTTTACCACTCCTCTTTATGTGGCATCTGGTCAGGATTAATTTACGCTGGATTATCTAATACTGAACACATACAAATAAAGAGACACTTCATTGGGACTGAGAGGAGGACATACCCATGAGATACATAAGAAGTTCAGAAATTCAATATAGCTTCTTTTGTATTTAAGAAGAGCTTCATGAAGTGTCAAATCATGTATTATTAGCATTTGTCTCTTTTACTAGCTCTTCCTCCTCCTCCCCTCTCTCAGTCATTGAGGAGCTTCAGATATCACAGAGACAGCTAATCTGTACCCCACCTCTAGATTTGATCCCTTGTCTACCAGACCTGAAGAGAATTATCACTGAAGAGAACTAGCAATGGATAGTCCTTTTTCCAATTGTTCATAGGCTTTTGAAGATTAGAGCTACTCAGAGCAGCCCACTAATATCCCAGGAAAACACTCACTACAAAAACAAAAAAACCCCACTTCAGTCAGCTAATAACTGTAGATAAGTTCACCAAGGCCACATTTTAGCACAGTTCAATGAAAAGAATACTTGTACTAACTGTCCACTTTCCCCCTTCCAATTCTTCAAGCGAATGACCAAATTACCTTCTCCAAGATTTATGGTTACTCATCTCCGTCCTGAAAATCTTCCCAAATCTATCTTCCAAAACTATGCCAAGGTGAGTGCTGATTTTAATGTATTAAAGCAAAAAATTGAATGGATTAATTTTTTAAGGAGCCAATGTAGTGCTTTCTTACCAATTTTCAGAATCACGCTTTTTTACACAAGTGTTTAGCCTCACCATTTCTACATCTTTAAGGCTCTACATATTTAAGAACTGCCATTCACCTCACTTAACCACAGTTTGCCCTTATTGGCTCCTTTGTGACAGTTTCCACAAGAGGGTTGAAGGGCTTGAACAAATCCTCCAGAGGAAAAATGGATTTTGATGGGATTTCCTGTGGGAGGAATTTTATGGCATTGTTGCAAGTGAGGGCTTCAATGTGTCAAATTTCCATGAGAATTTATATTTTTGTGAATTTTCCCTGCCACTTAAATGATGAGCTATGCTTGTATTGAGCAAAACAGATTATGCATAAATAATTTGGGTAATCTGTAAAAGATAATAATTATAGGAAACCATCTTCTCATGGTACCAAAGCAAATTTAAATACTGCATCTTCTGAATTGGGAATGAAATTGCTACTTCTGCAAGGAGCACACAAGGTATTAGAAATCCCCAACTGCAGTTATAAAGTATATTATTGTTATTTCTTTTTTTATGCTGTAGTCTGCTATGTCTTTCCCTAATAAATAGTAGTACAATTTTTTTCTAGATATTGTTACTGATTCGTAATCCAAAAGATGTTGCTACATCTTTCTACCACTTTTGCAATGGCCTGCCTACTCTTCCCTCCTATGAGACCTGGGATGATTTCTTCACAGATTTCATGACAAAGAAAAGTACAGTATAATTTTTTGTCTGTTTCAATTGTCCAATGATTTCTTGTTGTGTAAAAACCTTTTTTCTTTGGTAAATCAGCTTCTCTAGGAATTTTTAGTTTTAAGTACAAACCAGAGATTAAAGACAGAGTGTTAGAATTCTGAAATTTTCCATGCTTGCCTTACTGCTTGAGGATAAATATTTGTCAAAACTTTACTTCCACAGGCTTTTGTAATTTGTACAAACTGGTATTTTTCCTGGAAGAGGCAGTTCTTCCTTATCTCTATCTTGGGTCCCCTCTACCCCCTGCCCTCCTATGTCCATCATGTTCTGTCCATGGAACTTTATAATCATCTCTAAGCCAAATTGGATGAAAGGAATTATTAGGACTAAGCCTAGTGCACTAAAAAGGGGACGAATTCTAATGAATTTAAAAAAAGTAATAGCACTACTTTAAAGTTATGAGTTTTAGGTAGCACATGGTCAGCAGAAAGGGGTGTTCAACAAGGTTTTAGACTGGATTAAGCGAATCTTACAAGATGGTCAGCAAGATGATAGCTTTTTTTGTGCACTCAAAGTTGTCTTAAAATGCCAACAAGTTTTTTTTTCTGAATTCCAAACGGTATCATATACCTAAGACTGGAGCACAACTGATAATTCCCACAGAAGGGTGTCAACTTTGTCATAAATCTGATTAATAAAGCCCTTGGCTGACACAACTTAATGAGCAAAACTTGCATAATCTAAATTTATGCTTAATCTTTGGCTCCTTTTGCTTTATTTAGTGGCCTGGGGATGCTATTTTGAATACCTCTCTGAATGGAACAAATATGCTGACAAAGAAAATATTATGACAATAACTTATGAAGAGGTAAAAGAGGTAAGGTTTTCAATATTTACAAATACTGTATACTTGAAGGGACTTTTTTTTTTTTTTTAAATAATATACCCTCATACGAATGCAGGGCATCCAAGGTGTATGAGACAGATTCTTCTTTAAAGAATCTGTTTTAAGGGAAGAAGTGGTGAAATTCAAACATAAAGGCCTTCTTAAAATTTTGCTTGTGAAAACGATTCTTGTTTTTTATTTATCTGTAAGACTCGATATGGCATTCAATAACATGGTTTAGTTGAGGTGTTAGAGCATGGGTTGGACTCGATGATCTCTAACGTGTCTTCAAACCCGGTCATTCTGTGAATTCTGTAGTATAAGCCCGTATAATTGTAAATCTAAATCAACAATAATCAGTCTTTGGAAAGGAGCTCTTGTGTTTTCAGCGGTGTACATTTTACACAACTGTAAATCATATAAAATATTTTGTAATCTACGGGAAGGCAGCTTGTATCTCCTCCAAAATAATTGTGTAGAAGAGAAACATTATGACCCACTCTAGTCCTGGTGAACTCTGTGAATACCCTATGTATGCAGCCAGCAGAGAGATATAGGGAAGTGCAAACACCTTGGAAAGCAGAGTCATTTGTTTGAAAGTCATGCCATATGTTACCTT